ATTTAATGAAAAAATTGCTATATAGAAATTGTTACAGGGGAACTTTGAAAAATTGTGGATGCATAACTTGTTAACCACTTTAATTTGAATTTTTGTGAGATAAAATAAATAAAGAAGATAATAATTAAGCAATATTTCAAAAGAAAAACCAATTGGCTTCAGAAAGTTGATGAAATTCTTCATTGTTTACATTGTGAGGATTAGCCAAATTTTCCCCAGAATCATTAAGGAATGCTAGGGCTGAATTGCCCTGTGATTTAATCCATTGGTGAATATCCTCTTTATCTAATCTAATAATTAAAACCAATAATGAAGGATTGTTTGTTTATACACAGGATGTGAAATCCTTCATATTTATAACTGAGATGTGAGTTCTTTTTTCTTTCTTCAAAGTTAGAAAGTCTACAGGAGCCTCTAATTTGGTCAAAGCATGGGCTTTCCATATTTCTGGGAAACTGAATTCAGAGGAATGGTTTAGAGACATCTGGGCAAGGACTCCAAATGTGAGTGTTGCTGGGCTGACTCAATATAATCCAAGAATCAAGAGAGCCAATGTCTGTAGGCATTGTCTAAATAGGATTATATAGATGGTTAGTGGGAGATGTTTTGGAATGGTGATGTAAGCATGAATATAAAAGGGCAATGGCCCAGCAAGAAATCAGCTTCTTTTTCAAGATCCTGCTTGTAAAAAAAACATTGCCTCATTGCTCTTCTTAAGGAAACTAAAGATCAAGGGAAAGATATACTACATCTGGTTCTGCTCTGTTGGCCTGCTAACTTCTATTATTAAATTCTGTATCCTTGGCTAAAGGGTGTATCTACAACTTAGAGAGGGGGTTTTATGTGTGTATGTGATTTCTTTTGCCAACCTATTAACCACCCACAACTGGAAACTGTACTTCTTATATTCAGTTGAGCAATGGTTTAGGCAAATGTATTATTAAGTGAAATTAGTCTCTATGTGTTAGTAATCTTTTGTAAACCTAGAAAGTTATACAAATATTTTCATCTTCCATAGTGTTAAGGAGTAGACAATAGTAGAAACACATGTATCTGAGATACGTGTACTTTCTAGTCCCAGTGGGTGCAGCATTTTATGTTAAGGAGTATGATCCTGGGTTATTACTAGAGCATTATGGCCTTGCTAGACTGTGAGAGACTAGGATAGTCCTAGGGCATTATTTACATACGTGGCTTTGTACATTATGGGTGGGTTATTAATATGCCTAGTATGTGTTTAGAAGGAGCTAGGTGAAGCTAGTCTCTTTAAAGATCAGGTCTATAATATAATAAATGTAGTATAAATAAGAACATTCATGTATCCTAGGAGAATACAGAGGTTCAATTTATAAGAAGTCTATTGTCAACCTAGCAACCAATAAGAACAGCCAATGGTCCCAAGTTAGAAGAAGTTGGCCGTCTTATGAAACAACACTCAAATGAACTTCAGAAACAGCTAAACGACACTGGGAAGGAAACTATTAGAATGTAATTCAAAAGGTATAGTGAATAAAAATAAGTAGGAATAGTTCAGTTTACCTGTTAAACTCAGAGCAGAAGTATCAGTTTCAAGACAGAAATCCAAGGAGACATTGCTAATTAGCCTTACATAGCCACTGGTGGAGATAAAATCTTGCAAATAATAATCCAAATGGATCATAATACTTCAGTTGGCCTCCTTAGCTGGTGAACAATAATCAGTCATCTCAAGGGAAGACACTGCCAGCTTCATTTCATTCATCCAATCAATGATTATTGAATGATTGAGGGCTTCCAGATGAATGGTTTATTAACTGGTAAACAATATTGAGAACCTACTATGAGTGAGGTTATGTACTGTGCTGGACACATTTTCATGTACCTCAGATGTTACCTAAACTAGTTAAAATTGCCAAAGAGAGGACCTGAATAGACATTTTTCCAAAGAAGATGTAAAGACAGCCAATAGATGAGATATATGTAAAGATGCTGAACATCGTGAATCACCAGGGAAATTCAAATCAAAACCACAGTGAGATACCACCTTACACCTGTTAGAATGGCTAGTATCAAAAACACAAGAAATAACAAATGTTGGTAAGGATGTGGAGAAAACGAAACTCTTGGGGACTGTTGGTCAGAATATAAATTGGTGCAGCCACTATGGAAAGCAAAAAATTAAAAATAAAACACCATGCAATCTAGTAATTCCACAGCTGGGTACTTACATTAAGAAGATGAAAATATTAGTTTGAAAATATATATGTTTCTCTATGTTTATGTCCATAAATAGATGAATGGATAAAGATGTGGCATATACACACAATAGAATATTACTCAGCCATAAAAAAGAATGAAATCTTGTCATTCGTGACAACATGAATGGATCCAGAGGGTATTATAATGCTTAGTGAAATAAATCAGACAGAGAAAAACAAACACCATATGATTTCACTTATATGTGGAATCTGAAAAACAAACAAAACAAATAAATGAATAAAAAATCCAGAAACACATTCATAAATACCCAGAACTGGCAGTTGCCAGAAGGGAGGAAAGTAGGGGGTAGGAAAAAATAGATGAAAGGGATTAATAGGTACAAACTTCCAGTTATAAAATAAATAAGGCACAGGGATGAAATGTACAGCATAGGGAATATAGTTAATAATGTAATAACTGTGTGGTGACAGATGGTGACTACACTTGTGGTGAGCATTTTGTAATATATAGAATTGCTGAATCATATGTTGTACACCTGAAACTAATATAATATCATATGTCAAAAAAATTGCCAAATCAGAAGCAGCAGTAGCTCTTGTAATATTAATAAACAAACAAATTGAGCTCCACCTTTTTTATAGACCCTGGTACATATCTCCATTATAGGACTTACTGTATTGTTTAGTAACTTGTTATTTTTTATGACTTATTCATTTTTTTCTGTGAAACTGAAATATTTTTATTCCTTTTTTAACCACCCACGTGGTCAACACTATTGCTGGTTAAATAAATGAGTAAGCGTTAGCCCAAATATCCAGTGGACAATACAGCAAAATAAATAAATAAAGATGTCAGAATTGAAATCTAATCTTTAAATTTCTAGGAAAGAATGGATTGTAGGGAAAAAGTATTATATGGGTAAATTATGTTCATGCTTATGTACATTAATTAGCTTTTGTCTTTCATAAACTAGGTATCTTGCTTCTATGCTGTTCTGATAGTCCGTACATCTCTCTATTTCTGCCCTTATCATATTTTATAATGATTATTTATGTTTTTGTCTTCTAGTATTCTAAGAAAGAGCAAACCCCATTGAGGTGGTAAATGTGTACTATCCACCTTTGTATCCTCAAGATTTATCACAGTGCTTGGCACACAGATTATCCTCAGTAGATTTTTAAGGAATGAATGCAGATGTGGTGAATTTTCTTGAGGTAGTCATAATAGAAGGCAATGCATTGAAAATAACAACATGTGAAATGATTCCATTTGTATGCTTCCACAAAATAGGAGATACCATATTATGTAGTTTATATTGGCATTTTAATACCAGATAACTGCCATCTAGTGAGAGTTCATCATGTTATATTATAGAAGACATTATTATTCCTTCGACTGAGTAGATACTTTTAGCTAAAAGTGAGTGATTACTCTTCAGAATGATTTGGTCCCATTTCTACTTTAAGTTATTGTATCTTTTTAAAGCAAGGGACTTTAGTCTTAAACTTTGGGTTTCCTTGTCCCAGTTCAAATAAAATAAAACAAAAACTTATTCATCCACCAGTCTTTTTGGTTTCAGTAAATGATATAATTATTTGTTAAGATTAAAGATCCAGGCATTATCCAGGCAAAATAGAATGTTTTCTTTTCTATTTCTACTTGCTAAGCCCCTCCCCCAGCCATTAGTCACTGCCAGTGTCCAATCAATTAGCAGGTCTTATGGCTCTGACCCCAAATTATATTCTGAATCTCAGTTTTTACCACTTCTTTTCCATTAAGGCCTTGCCCTAATCATTGTAGTAGACTCCTAACTGTTCTTACTACTTCACAGGAGAGAAGAACACGTTTTGAAATCCACTAAAATCCATCAATGGCTTGCCCCAAACCCAAAATAAAAACCAACCTTCATACCATGTCCTCAGTGCCCTACTTGGTCTGGCCTCCTCAAGCTCTTCACCTTTACATCTTATTGCCTGCCCCTTCCAGGTCCCAGGCCTTCCAGGTCCCAGGCCTTCTTATCACTGGATCATACTAGGCTTATTTTCATGCTCATGACTGTTACTTCTGTTGTTCTCTTTTCTTAGAAATCTATTCTCATGGATTTCCACAAGGTAGATAATTAATTACACAGTGGTCTCTCATCTCTTTCTAGAGGCCTCTTTAAAATGGCATCCCTGCTCCAATCACTCTCTATATAATTTCTTTGCTTCAGTTTCTTATTAAGAAATTAAATTCTTCATTTACTCATATTATTTCTTTACATGCTAACTTGTTTAATGCGTATCATTCCTCCTAGAAAGATTATCAGGTTTGTGTCTTCCTTGTTTGCTGTTACATCCTCAGAGCCTTGATCAGTTGTTGCTCACTGGGTATTTTTGAAATGACTTAAGATTATTTCAGTGTAGGAAATGTGTTAGTTTTGTGATATGTAGACCAGGGATGGTGATTGCTATGGGCAATATACTGGATGTATTGAGACCACGAATTCATGCCTCATTGTCCATTCAAGGTTTATAAGAAAACAAGAATATTATATTTCAGACAATTCAGACTGGAGCAGGATTAGTTTCTCATGGGAGAAGTCCACTAACAATTTGAGGAAACCTAATTTGTTCCATTAAAAATATATTGAAGAAAATATTTCCTTCAATCATATTAGATATATAAACATGTTTATGTTATCTGGGGGGATTTGAGAGCCGGGGGAGCAAGCCATCTGCCGGGTTTCTATGCCATTACATGTCCTATATCACTCTGGGACATTGCTTAATTACTGTAATAGACATTATTTGCACACTGACCTTTTTATCCCTCCAAATGTTTGTGCATGACCTAGGAATTTTCCAAAGTCAATATGAAACATGTGGCCTGACTTTGTCAGCATGATATTGTCGTTATGTCGGTCACAGACTCCCAGGATGAACGTTACCACACACCAGCCGGCACAGGAATAGAAAAAGTTCCTCAAGGCCTAATTGGTTGAAAAGAAATAACACAAAGATAACACACAGATAAAATAAGCAAATGCATTAGCGTCAGAGATAATGGTAAAAAGTAGTATAAAAAGCAAAATTACATAATCGAGACCCTCTTCTATGTCTCAGTTGAGAGAAGATTATGATTAAATGACTGGTTCTTCATATGCTATAGAAGAACATGAAGCAATTTCTTCTGTGGCTAATAAATGTTTTCATTTAAATTGGGCAAAATATCTCTTTCATTCAGTTGGATCTAATTTTCATAGCTTATTGAAGAGGATTCCTGGTGTATTTTTTTGATGTCCCAAATATACAATATTGAATGATTTTTTTTCAAGGTAAAAGAAGAAGGAAAAATATGGCTCAATATTTCCTATCCCCAGAGAAACTTAAAATGTCAATTTTGAATATTTGAATTTGTAACACAGAAAAAACCGTATTGAGATATAGGTAATATCTTATGTTTATCCTTACAAATATGTCATCCAGCTAATGTCCAAAAGTGTCTTGGTACAGTATACATCAGTGAATGTCAGTGTGGGTGGAAGCAGGTTATCACTAAGTCAATTGTGGCTTCTGTTTCTTTAATAAACAGAGGTTTCTTGCCAAAATACTCTTTGTTTTCAAATGGTCTCCTGAGTACACATTATTTTCATCAGTGATGCAACCAGGACTGTAACCATGGTGGAGCTGTGAGTGATTGGTTGGGCCATGGTAATGGGTCTCCTGGAACGGGGTGGCTGACATGCTGGAGTGGAAATCTATGTCACTGGATTACCTGTCTTAGTTCCAGATATCCCAAGTGCCTGAACAAGTCACTTAATTTGTCTCATTATATATGTTTCACTTACAAAGTGAAGATAATAAAAGATGCCCTTATGTGTAGCTGTGAAGAGCAAATATATGCGTAAACACCTCAAACGATATAACCCCAGGGATTTGTGCAAAACTAAAGTTCTAATTTCGTGAATGATTACAAAATAGATTTCAAGGTAATGCTATCTCATCTTTGTTATTTGACCTCCAAAACCCCATATTTTGCTCCACTTCAATCTCATAGAAATCTGAAATCGATGAACTCTTGGGTCTCTCTATCATGGCCTGTGTTAACTAGGGTGACCAATCATTCCAGTTTGTTCAGGACTGAGGAGTTGCCTAGAATGAAGAAATTTCAGTGCTCAGGACAGTTTTGAGAAAACTCAGTGCTAGCCCTTATTGTATCTTTGTGTGAACTGGCATAAAGATATTCCTCCCTCCAGGTAGACCCAGCAGGACCAGTTCATGCTTTGGCAAGTGGAATAAAGCCTGGATTTAAGCAGCTCCTTCCTTAGCTGGGAGCCCTGGTAGATGGCAGAACCTGCACAACTATACACCACAGGCCGGATGCCAGTGTGAAGGGAAGTGGGAAAAAATGTTTTCAGTCAAATATAACAGTACATTTTGTAAAGTTATGAGATATTTATGCATTTTACAAGCATTGGAAGAATAAGGCATGAAAAAGTAGGCAGAAGAAATGCATTGCAAAGGAAGGAGAGGGATTTATAGAAACTGGAGATTGTATACAGATTGGCAGAGATAACTTGAAAGAAGTAGTTTCAAGGAGCAACATCTCAAGAGAGATGGCTGTAAGGAACAAAACCAAATACAGAAATTTTATCTAGTTAATATACCATTTAAACTGGATCATTATTACTAAGCTGATGACAGAATGGATTAGAACTCAAGGTGTCCTTAATTTACTTTTTCATGAAACACAATAGTTAATGATCCAGAGCATATTCTTCTTTAAGTACATTATTTAAAATTAGCTACAGCAGGACAAACCTTTTCATAATCTGCCTTTAGATGGTTGTGCTGACTGAACCATTTTTTGATTGTGTTTTCTTTCAATGGTCCTATCAGTCCAGAATGGCGATGGATCTTTGCTAGGGTGATGGCATCGGGCACCATCTGCACCAATCCTGGTTGATAAAAAAGAGATGATATAAATAAATTTCTCCTTCACAAGATGAGGAATACTTAGGAAACACATCTTGACCTATGTGGCAACAATCCTTCTCAGCACTACTTCAGTTATCCTTTTCTTTGTAAACCTTCTTTTCTGAAGAAGACTTATCTGGATGAAGACTTCCTTCTAATTTTTCTGAAGTCCTGGGGAGCACTTATTGTGTTTGGAACTATCAGAAGAAGCTTCACTATTTTTTTTTTTTGAACTACAGTAGAGAGCCAATCTAGACGGTCTCACAGAACTCTCAGTCAATAAGGTAGTCAGTTAATTACTGTATGACTTGTGCATTCATTTACAGTTGAAGAGAGGACATTCAAACTTGTATAACAAGCGTATTTATGATAGAAGAGAACCAAATACAATATCCATAACAAATATTTCAAATATATTATAAAAATCAAGTTTCAGGTTAATGAAAGCTTCATAGTTAAATGTCCCATTTCTAGGAGTGAACAGAATAATTGCAGTAAACATGTGGAGAGCCATCTGCTCCTTTCTTCTCAGCCAACATTAAAGACAAACTATGCTAATAATTTTTTAAAGGGGAGCATATATTGATTGAACTTCATTAGGACCTTTGCCCCACTGGCCATGTATCCATTAAGGCTTTTTTCATTGTGTTCCTAAGGTTATTAAAATGTAAATATTTTCAAATCTTCTGATTTTTATTCTGTACAGAATAGCAATTTAGACCCAGTATTTAATAAAACTGTCCAGACTAATGTCCACAAAACAACCTGTAATATACTGTTCTATAAATAAAACCACTGAAAGAAATTAAAGTCTAGTATTTTTGATTTCCACAATCTTGAAAATTGCAGGAGTTGAAAACTCAAATGTCCAAAGAGACCAAGGACACAAATGAAACTGAAAAGAGAGATGTTTGAATTTATGAAACTATTTCATAATCTATCTTCAAACATTCAGATTAAACAACAATTAATCAAATCACAGTGTTGGTAAATGAAACACTTCTCTGTGCTGGAGTTGGCCAGCAGTAGCTGGTTGCAGCCTTAATCTCTCTTAATATTTAATAGTCCAGTTGTGGCTCTTAGACATCTACATTGCTGGATCAGAAAGAAACTTAAACATGGGGAGTGGGAATGGAATATTGAATGCTGCAGAAATAAGCTATTAAGCATATCTGAAGGAAAGAAGGAAGGAAGGAAGGAGGGAAGGAAGGAAGGAAGGAAGGAAGGAAGGAAGGAAGGAAGGGGCAAAAGAGAGATAGGGAGAGGAAGGAAAGAATGGAGGGAGGAAAGGAGGGGGGAAGGAGGGAGGAAGGAAGGACATAACTGAATACTCTAGAAGTAAATCTTGGGCTTATCCTTAATATCATAGTACTTCTCCTTTCTCCCCAATAGTATTTGGCTGTCATGCAGGTTTTCTCATGTGTATTAAGTAAGATAGAAAATGTAAGGCTTTACATTTTGTATTAATGTAATAATTTTAGAAAGAGGTGATTCCTCTTTCTAATACTAAACATTTCCTTCCTCAAATTTCCAGTTCCTCCACTTAATACACCTAAAGGGAAATCACCTTCTATCTGGTTCCTTACTGCTTCATTGCCTCACATTTGACCATGTCCAAATTAAAGACTTAGATTATTACACCATTTACATACTGTGCTGTAGCAATGTCAGTTACTTTCCAGACCACATTTGTCTTTAGGGAATTAATCTTTGCTAAATCCCAAGCCATTTATCATAAGACATTGCTGACTACCCTGAAAACCTTGCACCTAATTTTTAACAATCATGGTGGCCAAATTTTGTCTATTAATTAAAACCATAAATTACATTTTATACATTTTAAGATAGTATGTATCATACACCTTTTAAATACTATCAAATCTGTGCACATTGAGTAATATGTATAGTTCTATTCTTATAGTCCTTGAATGTAGATTCTCCAATTTTAGTGTATATCTATATCTATATCTATATCTATCTATCTATATCTATCTATCTATATCTATCTATCT